AATTGCAAAACGGTTTCAACAACAAAAAAAAAACATTTCTCAAAATTTCAACTATATCAAAAATAAATTGGATGTTATAACCAGTACTTCAAGTAAAATTAGTCATTCAGACATTAAAAAATTGTAAGTTGGCATAAGTTGCCTAAAGTGTTATATTGTGACAGGACCTTAAGGGGCTTAAGTGTGCACATAGTCCTAGTTATAAAACAATTAACTGGAAAACAGATAACTGGAATGTAAGTGTGGTGAAGCCAAATAAATATAATATCGGCCTGCCATACAATGAGCTTCTGCCTGCTGCTCTGCGTTCTCAGACCAGAAGCCGACTGTAACATTAGCAAGATGGATTTATGACTGAATGAATGTCCACATCGTTTTTTTTTAATAATCTCTGTGCGTAACAAAACATAAAAATCATTTATTTTCTCTGACAACTTGGTGCGAAAAAACTACGGTAGATAAATCTTCGCTCTGCGCAACGTGCAGCGGGAGGGAATGATCCAACGGCACAACATAACTTTTCTACTGTGGGAGGGGGAAATTTTGATGATTTATTCTCTCTATATGTGTTTTAAAATGCTATATTTCTTCATTTATTTTCAGAATATTTCAAACTCTTGCTCAGTTGTCTCTGCACTCGCAGCCATGTTTACACAGTTGCGATGATGTAACTGACGACAGGACGGTAGAGGGTAAATTTCTACCGTAGACCAATTTCATATAGTTTCTACCGTCTATTGCATATACTGCGCAGCCCTAGCTCATATTAAATGCTTTTTTTAATACGCCAGCCTCAACTCAAGCCAAATGGCAGTCACAAGTAATCGACCATGGCAAATAAGAAAARTGKCTATGCCAGTCATTTTTACAGATATTGAGCTGAAATCTGCTGTAGATCACGATCCACAAGACTTACACCAAGTTCACACAAAATATTTGTTTAAAATTTGTTTATGCAAAGTGGTGGTATATATACTTTGAAGGAATGCTACTTTTAGTTTTATTATGTTCTGATATGTAAACATGACTTTCCTTTCCCTGTGTATACTTTTAATAATAGTTACCTTAATTTTATTCATATCTTTAAATCCTCTCTTTGTAGATAAACACAAGCTGTTTATTTTTTTATTCCATTTTTAATTATTGACTATTGCTGGTCAATAAAAATTAGCAAACAAATTTTAAAAAAGCACACAAAAATAAACAGTTCTTGGCAAAAGTAAGAAAACAGAATGCATCAACATTTAAAAGCGATTTTATTTGACATTTTGTTTTTGCAAAATCAAATAATAAGTAACAGAATTATGTACAGTAATTGACTCTTGGTACTTTTTCTTGTTCATTTAAAGGAAAACACATTTCACTCCGAGTTACTCCGAGTTTTCTATTTTAACCAGGTTCACTTTATTTTCCACACATGTGTGTTTTGTCAGCCTGGTGTCATTCAGCCATGCACGACTCCACACAGTAAAATTGCACTGGAATGACTGAAAAACAAAGTTAAGAACATGGTTGTTATTATTATTAAAAATAAACATATATTTATACAGACGAACATGGCACGTTGTTCTAAAGCAGACTGTAAGAGCCTAATAATATAAGCCACCTTTATGGTGTTTCAACACTACCTCTCAATAAAAGAATACACTGTAAATATATGTTTTTCGTTTAAAGTAAATACCTGAGCCAGCTTTGGGTCTGTTTGAATGTCACACAGTTCATTCACTTCCTTGGTGTCACTTGAGCAGTTGGTATTTGCCAGATTCACATTCAGGTGGTACAAAAGGCCTGCAACAACCTTTAAGGATAAACGTGAGAAATAAGCTTTTAGATTATTTTTAAAACAATAAAACACTACAAACATGGGCTGACATGTATTTAACATGGTCACGTCAAAATGACTGTAGATAAAATAGGAAAAATCAAAAGCTTATATTGTTGATTAGTCTCCATTAGTGTCCACTGTAGCAGAGACTATTCTTCCTGGGGTCCAACAAGTCATAAAACCCCATTAAACAAAATCACAAATCAAAAACAGCCAGCTCAAAGCACTTCAACCTAATTTCCCTCTGGGATCAATAAAGTATTTTTGAATTGAATTTGAATTGAATTCAAAACAAAACAACAGAAAAACTACACGACACTTATCATTTAATGCTCCAAACCGAACTGACCTGAATTTGAGCTTTGATCACATCAGTCACTTTGCGGATGTGCGTGACGTTGTTAACATCGTTGTGTTGGTCGACGGCGAATTTCAGAGCCTCTTGGACATTTTTGTCATTGGCATCTGTGTCGCTAATCCCCCCTGGAATACCTAAYCCAACAGCATAAACAGCGGCGAGAAAAAGTACGACGACCTTCCACATCCTGGCCTTCGTCAGTGCACCCACAGATAACTGGTGAGGCTGACGCAGCTTCACTTTTTATATCTGATCCRTGCGGGAGTTTAGGAGGAACGAAGCAGCCAATCAGCACTCTGCACACAAACCCACCTCTTACCTCTTAACCTAAGACAGGACTAGAGCCAGCTTGGTTATAAAGAACAAGACAAACACATAAGCTTTCTGATTACTGAAAGCAATCAATCAATCAATCAATCAATCAAGCAATAAATAAATAAATAAATAAAATCCACTATCTCCACTGCAAAGGTTGTTTACAACTTGGCATTCTGACATGAACTCAGAAAGTCAGGACTATGAGTGGAACCGACCAACTAAACACAGGAGGCGACTGAAAAAAGGTAGTGATTTTATTTACAGGTGCAGGGAAAAATATACAAGTCAGGATAGGTTTCTGAAGAACGAGTCGGCTTAGAGGTGAGGTTTCCTTTGTGAGGTAAAAGGTTTCTTCAGGCAGAGTGGCAAGACCATAAAGTCTTCCTTGGTTCCTTTAGGTAATGATCCTGGGCAGACCAAAACTCCAGACGACGTGATGGTGAAGGTTTCCAAAAACGGTGTTATGCRTCAGCGAGGACCGTCTGGAGACACTTTTAAAGCCCAGGATGTCATCAGGGTGATTGCTCGCAGGTGGTGCAATTAGAAGCAGGAACCAAGCAGAAGGTAAACACCAAAACCTCCAATCATCACACATTCAGTCTAAAATATCCGTTTTTGTCTCATTCATCCTATTTTCAAAGTTAATTTTAAGACCTCGGTGAACGTCAGGTAGTTCTATTTAAAGACATRCTGTATGCTTAAATGCATCAAGATCCGTCAATGACCAAATTAGATAACTTGCACAACCTTTATTTTATGCATGGAGACCCAAAGTAAACATTGGAATACACTAACCTTTGTAACCGATGTGCAAATAGTGACCTTTTTGTCCATCTGGCAGCACTAAGGACTGGATGCTGGTAATTCAAGGGTTCATCAATTTTTTTGCCAATTTCTTTGATTTACGTGCTAAATTTATCTTTTTTGTCTTAATTTATTAAGTCAAACTCTTGTTATCTACCCACAACGTCTAATAAATGAAMAGTTGCATCATGTAAAATCCTGTTTGGATTTACAATCTGTTTATTTTAAAATGTTTTATCTGATCCTGATTTATCCATCTATTGTCGTTTACCCACTTCATTGGAGGTCACTGGTGCCCAAGTCCAGCAGTCACTGTGCAAGGGGCAAGTAAATGAACACAGACGTCCATAAAGTTTAAAAGCAACTTTATTCAAAACCGTGATCAGTGTTTATTGGTCAAAGTTATAAAGATTTAATTATGTAGTATTTGCAACATGACAGCTATTACAAGTATATTGATTAGGATGAACAGAAATACTGGTTTTTGATTGTTTATTACATAATGCACCAGATTATTACACTACCAAATTTTGTAATAATTGCCGCAAAATGTAATAACGTTATTACATAATGCGTTGAATACTTTTATTACATTTTGCATCAATTATTACATAATGCGGTTTTAGCKTRAGTTTATTACATTYTGAAGCCTGATTTTATTACATTATTACATAATGCGTTATTATTACAAAATGAGGTCATACAAGGACTTTTAGTTATGAAACTTTTTTTTGACTTAATCCTTAATCAAGAGTCTGTAACTTTTATATTCTAAAGAGCATTTCAGCATTTTTCTTACATTTAATTGGTCTTTGATATTTTTATTTAGGTGCTATATTTATCTTTTTGATTTTTATTAAGTCAAACTTTTTTTTATTACTCATAACTTTTAATAAATGTACAGTTGCAACATGTTACATAAAAAAATCACAGTGTGGGTTAATAATGTTTGATATTTGATTTATTTAGTTTATCTGATTTTAATCTGTTACCAATGCCAAAATAAGGTAACATAAATTATTTCTGACAAATCACCCAAAAATAAACAGGCCTGAGAAGCAAAAGGGAACAAAGTAAGACATCAATTGAAGTTTAAAAAATATTTATTACATTTTGAAGGTTTTAACAGAGCTTTTAGACACTCAGAATATTTAGACTCATACTCATAGGTCCGGAAAATCAAGAATTACAGATGTTGATACTTTTGCAAATGCTGTAAGAAAGAATAAATTTTGTTTTTTTTCTGAATGAATTGATGAACAACAATAAAAAAGGGGCAGATAAGATTTATTCTTCTTCTGCTGCCTTTCATTTTATTTTATTTTATTTTGATTGCATGTTTTTTGTTCTTTTGTTATGTATATGTG